ACAACATATATAAATATTTGCATTTATTAGCTAATGACAAATACAAAAGTAAAGACAAACATGCAAACTTCACTTCTTCAAATAAACGATTTAACCGAGAATACTTCCTGTTCCCAAAATTTACACATTCCTGCATCGCCTTCTGACACGGAATCCCTTACCATCAATTCCGGAAAACCTAAAACGACCCTTTCCCTCAAATACATGCCACAACCAGGAATTCCTGATTCGTAGTCCCTTTCAAATCCAACTCTCAACATCCAATTCCTGGTCATTCCGGGTAATTCCAGAATTTGAAGGATATACTGAATAACGAAATGATCATCTTAAAAGATCTATTCGATATCAAAGTGAAATTCCGGAATTTGCGCATATCCGGAATCACTAGGAAATGCAGGAATTCCTGGTCATTCCTGCCTATTCCGGAATTACAAATATCTCATGGATGGCTAAATGATCATTTATCGAGCTTGAATAAATGCAAAGCGGAATTCCGGAATCAATAGGAAATGCAGGAATTCCAGGTCATTCCATATCGATGCAATTCCAGAGTTCTACAACGGAATTGAATCTTTATTTCTATAGCAATGTTCAGTTGAACATAAATACATGAATCTATACAGGAATATGCAGGAATTCCTGGTCATTCCATATCGATGCAATTCCGGAATTCTAAAACGGAATTGCATCTTTATTTCCATAGCAAGGTTTAGTTGAACATGAATACATCAACCTATGCAGGAATTGGCAGGAATTCCGTAAAATTCGATGGGTGGGTGTGGGTGTGGGTGTGGGTGTGGGTGTGGGTGTGTGGGTGCGGGTGGGTGCGGGTGTGGGGTGTGGGTGGGTGGGTGTGGGTATGGGTGTGGGTGTGAGTAAAGAGAGGTATAACAGTCACACCAACACCCACACACCCGCACCCACACCCACAGCCACACACCCACATCCAAATAACGTAAAATACAATCATTATGATCAGTTTTATCTCCAAGTAATAATCGTAACCAATGTTTTTTATTCGTATCATTTTTTGATTCATTTATTAATTTATTTTCTAATTGATAATAGAAAAATTCAAGTCGAATATCATCAAATGATCGACCAAGAAATCTTGTTGCATTTACATTAGCCCATCCATGAGATTTAAATTTAACAAGTGTACTATTTGAATATTTATCCGAACAAACACGTTCACCATTTAAAATATTAAAAATAAAATATGTATGAACATAATAACACATATTATTGAATAGAACAAATTCTGATGGACAAGAAATATTACCAACAATAGAAGATTGTTCTTCAATATTTCTAAATATACAAACATAAGCAAAGTTGCTTAGATTAGACAAGAAATAATAGTAAACACAAACATATTTCTATATGATCTAAATCTTAGAAATCTTTGTTTGATTTGACTTATATATCAATTTATCGAACAGAATAGCTTAATTGGTTGATGTAGGAAATTTTAAAGTTTTAGTTCTTGTTTTTTTTTTCTTCGAATTGTGTGATGAATATTGAGATATAGACTGAGTTGTTATAACGACACAACAGTTAGAAAAAAAAATATTTTTTTAATTTTTCACAAAATAACTTGGATTAATAAATCTTTTTAAAGTTTTTTTCTACGATATTCTCAATGACATAATTTCTTTTCTAGGATATATTTTTTCATACAGTTATGAATAATTTCATTAAAATTGATTTTATCTAATGATATATTTTAAATTATACGTACATTGTTTTAAATTCTGTTTGATCGGACATTATTGTTTCTAGAGGTTTTTGTGAACAAAGTACAGATCCTGATGAATGTGCTGTTGAACATGGAAGAAGATCATATGATAATGATCGATTTAAATTAGTTTGAATAATAACAATACAAAGATCATTTGAAGTTAATGAACTAATTTTCGATTTAAATAAATTATTAAATATATATGTTGAATTATGATCAATCTTAATAAATGTACGTGTACGTAATATAAATGATTTTGATATTAAATAATTCCATTGTTCATATGTTTTTATTAATATTGGTAAACAATTTTCATTAGCATTAATTTTTGTATAGGTATTTTGTATACTAAGTGGAATGAATTTTAAACATTGATATAAATTTCTATCAAATATAAATGCTGGTGAACAATAACGTTGTACATTAATTTTAACAACTGTATCTGTATTAATTTCGGTTTGATTTAAGAAATTTTCAAATCCACTTTTTATGTAAGGTAGAAATGAACAATGAATAAGTGGTTTTCGTACAGCCTTAGGTATAACTGGTTGCGATACTTCAATTGGTAGACAATAACAAGATTTTTTTTAATGAAAGAAAAAATGAAAAATAATTTGTTTGACGCATCATTTGACAATGTTTTCGACATGTATCAATTCCTTGGTTATAATCAATATCATTTAATAAAAGATTAACACGATATGTTTGAATACCATGTAAATAATAACAACCATCAAGTGACCAATCATAATTAGATAATGATGTTAATGGTAATAAATCAACATCTTCTGTTAATGAATAAATTTGTAAATTATTTGAAGTACAATTATTTATTGATAAAAATTCACCAAGAAATTCATTGAATTCATTTGGTTTAGTCATTGTATATAAACAAATACATTTTGTATGATTTTTATTTATTAAAATTATCCATTGTCGACATAGACGAAAACATAATTCAATTGTCATATTTGAACTTGAAAATGTTTGATATGGCGATAAAGAATTTTCTTGAATATAATTCATAATGAATTTATTATCCGAATTTAATTTTAAACAACCGATATGAAAATATTTCGATACAGATAAATCTTCTTGATTACTTATAGATGTACCAAAATGAATTAAAAAGATGACAAAGAAAAATTGGATGAGCATTATTTTCTTTTTTATTTACTGTTCGCAACAAAAGTAAAAAAAAGTCTTAGAAGAAATCAAATGCAAGTTTCTTATTTTAATTCAATGACAAAGGAAACAAAAAACAGTTGTTGAATAATATATCAAATTTCATACATGTAAATACTTGTTAATTTCATTTACTAATGATAGAAAGAACAAAACTAACTTTAGAATGTATCAATATGAGTCTAGTATAACTATTACAAGAAAAAAAAAGTATTCATTGCCAAACAATTAGAACATGGAAAAATAAAATGATCATATACCATTGTAAAGAAGATGTTGATATAAGATCGAATATGTTCTTTTAAATATTTATCTACATAGAAAAAAAAGTAATAAAAAACATTCGTCAGTTAATCAAATATAAATAATTGATTACAAAGAACAGTTTTGTTTGTTTATCTAACATACTATCCATCATCAATCATATAAAATTGAAAAATAGCACGATAAACTATTTGATTAGACAACGATATATTATCAGAGGATATTTTAATCGAAACTTATTTAGATTTAATTCATCTATTTCACACATAACCATCAAAATAAGGGAAAAAAAAACAAACGATATCTAGTAAAGAATGAGTCTATCAACGACTAGATCCGTTCTCTTAACTTTCCATCATTTCATCTAGATTTCTTTAGTAAAATACAATCTAAAACTAATCTTG